GAGAGAGAGAGAGAGAGAGAATACAAGGCCAGCAAGCCACTCCCACAAAGGAGGCCACACCCACAGAGTAGGTTCAAAAAAAATTTGAAACCCACCACTGCTTCAGACATTCACTGACTAGCAGACCAAAAAAGGCATCTAGGATGCTTCAATGCAGAGGAGCCATGCTGACACAGTGGTTAGAATGCAGTATTGCAAGTTAACTATGCCCACTGCCAGGAGTTTGATCCTGACTGGCTCAAGGTTGACTCAGACTTCAGAGCAGTATGGAAGTCTAAGTGTTACAATTACTATTGCTTTCCCTACGCCAGTGCAAATATTTCACTTTAATTGCCTAGTACTGGACAGGAACAGGGAGCGTTCTCCAGGAGTATAATTTTATTTCTAATTTTACAGACCTAAAGGTTTTGTAGAAAGATTTGCTTTAAACCACTCTGGGTATATAGATGGCAACTGCAAATGATATGCAGTGAAGCATCTGTTCTCAGCTGTTGCCTGTGGCTCGTTGCTAAGTACCCTTTCTTGGTTTTTGTCAACAAGTATATATTATAAAATTACAGAGGGGAAGAAAACCCCCAAACACGGAAATAAGAGTAATTTTTGTTTTAACTCTGAATAGACTCAAGGGTTATAGCATTAATCATTTGGGAACTTCCATTGCCCTAGGAAATGTGCGCCTCGGTTTGCCCACGGTATTCAATACTGATAATTGTCAAGAGGAGAAAAACTAATGAACACATAAGCACACGGCAACCAGCATTAAAGTGGTTAATCTAGTTAATCAGTTTGATCCCTTTTCATGTGCTGAAGGTGGTGAAATGATTTAAACAAGTTGTGTCAGCCACTTCCTCGGAACAAAAACAAAGCCTTTAACTAAATTCCCCTAATGAGCTACACTGGGGCAGGTTTCGTAACCATCTCTGGCTAGCTCCATAGCAACCAGGGAAGAAACTCTCATGCTCTTGATCGCCCTGTTTTATTCCAAGCCAAGCAAAAAAGACCAGGTTTTTGCGCATACTCTCTTGTCCATCTGTATTGTGTACATAAATCAGGGCCAAGAACAGGGAGCTACCAAAGGTACATTTCCTAAATCATTCCAAAGGTGTTTGGAAGGATTCTGTGGCCTAAAAAGCCCCATCCTCTATCACATAACACCCCTTCCCCATTAGAAATTAAGGTTTCAGATGAACAAACTGAAGTAGGGAGAGGTGATTGAAAGGACAGAAAATGGTTGGTTCTGTAATGTATTAGGTTAGGTTAGGTTAGGTTAGGTTAAGTTTATTTATAGGCCGCCCTTTTCCCTGAGGGGACTCAGGGCGGCTTACAACTTATGTAGGAAGGGGAAACATACAATGACATATAGG